GAAACACCACAACTTAAGTAGTTCCTAACTTTTTCCTCATTGGGTAAATTTTAACCTAAGAACACCACAGTAGCTATCAAACGAAGCTCTATCGAACAGTATACACTTCACCTGGAAAAAAAAATCTTTTCGAGAATATATAACCCCCCGAAACACCGCAACCCCGAAACACCACAACTTAAATAGTTCCTAACTTTTTTGTCATTGGGTAAATTTTGACCTAATCACACCACAGTATCTATCAAGCGATGCTCTATGAAACTGTATATAATTTACCTGGGAAAAAAAAAAAACATTTGGAGAAGCAATAACCCCGAAACCCCGAAATCTAATAACTAAACTGCTCAAGGTTGACGCATCAAATAGCCTTGTTATCGTTCTCACTACTCCTAATCCCTACAACAAAACCAGCAGACAATACAACATTTAACGAACACATCCTGAAATTAAATAGAACTAACACAAATGTGTATTTGACAACATCGAAACCCCGAAACCCCGAAACCCCGAAAATACGTGTCGTCGCCAAAACCAGATTTTGAGTGACGAGTCGACTTGCTACATTTGGCTACCGACCCGCCTTCAAAGCAATGGGCACATCAAACACTGGTGCACTATAGAGGTATTTGAGGTTCACCAGGAGTGTCGCGCGTGAAGGATTGGAGAGGGTCACGTCGTTCCGTAAACACGATGCGACCAGTGAGCATAGCGCGATATGATGGCGAGTCTGCGCTATATGCGGCAGCCAGGAAGGCCATGAACATGTAGTTGACACCCTGCTACGACACACCAACGTGAACTTGGCGAACGAGGTACCATGTCGGACTCGGTAATCCCCTTCCTCATCCCGGGAGATGAGGGAAATGTGGAATTCGACAAATTCGCATGCTATTTTACTGGATCAAAACGCAGCACCAAATGCTTGACCGCTTGCTGACTTATCCGGATAGTTGCGATGTCGATATCAATAATGCATATTTTAAGAAACAAATCCAATATAATTTTTCAATGAAGTCAAAATAAAACGTGCTAGAGCTACAGAGAATTTCAAACTACTAGATGTAATCCAATTTTGGCGAATACCATTTGTAGATCCCGAATGACCTTGTAGAAGGGACGATAAATCTGCAAGTACAGACGTTTGAATTACGATATTGCGCCAGCATATTCTTCACAGCACAGGGTTCTGAGATCCATGTTGTAATTCGCATCGAATATTGATTTGAACCAATGAAAGGGGGTCCAAAACAACGAATTCGTCGTTTTTTGCGCTGAATGGCTGTTGTGGATGTCAGATTCAACAGCCTACATCCACCTACATTTCAAAGAATTATATAAAGCGGTATGCTGACAGTGCAATCTAACAAAAATCCATTCAACTAAGAGCGGATGGGTTAATATTAACGGCGATATCCTCGCTCAAAGATCGCAAATTTTGAATTCCGCGAAGATTCGAATTTTCGTGAATCTTCATGAATATTGGCTAGTATGTTTGTCAGTATATAGTTGATACTAGTTTTTTCCGTATATTTCGGATAATGGATTCCATTTGTAAACCGACAAGCGTCGGCGACAAATACTAATTCCTCGTCCGATATGGCAACTATTGAGGGGATTAATTCGTAGAATTCCATTTGAATGCTATATTTCCCTCATCTCCCCGACATTATTCACAGGATGACGCGACGTCCGCAAGATGGTACCTCCCTTTTCAAACTCTTAACGATCCTACATCGTTGACCGTAAGTAGTACGGATTCAGAAGTAGTGCGGTCCTCACTAATACATGTGTGAAGGAATTCCAGAAATTTGTGGTTGATAAATAGTGCGGACCAATTTTGTGCAATTTTGGGTGTTTGGGTTGTATGCAACGATGCCCGATTAATCTGGTAGTCAGAGGAAGCCATCAAGTGTAGTAAAAACCCTTGTACATGATGTGTCGGTACTATTGACTATTCAAATCAATGCCGATTTGTGATGTAACTTTTCATTGCAAATCCACCATACAAAAATCAAGATATAATCCTTACTAATTCTCAATATTCAAATTGGTGCGGTCAGCACTAATGCATTAGCAGTAGGTCTGGTGACTACTACGTAGTAGGTTGAAAATTAGTGCGGTCCGCACTAATTACGGTCAACGGTGTACCAATCACTTCACATACCATATGAACATCCCATCACGTCGTCGAGTTATCTTGGCATGTTAGAAGGACTTTGACAACTTGAATCGTTTTGACCCATCGGAGTTAATTTTGATGCAACACTACGAACCAATAGTACTATGTGCTACGAGTAGTAATACTATGTAGTGATTCTTGAAAATTTGGTGAACACGAGGAGACTGCCCAAAGCGTAAGCGGTATAAAATTTTACTTGCTGTGGTTTAAACTGCAAAGGTTGTGATTACGACGATTTTGTTGTGATAATCATAGGGGGAGGGGAATGGTGCAGAGTCTACATGGTAACGTAAAATAGTAGCGATATCTTGTGAAGGTGTCTCCTTTTCGCTACGCTTAATACAACGGCAAAAAATAGACTCATGAATGCCCTAAGGTTGTCCACCATATAAGGGGGCTCATCACACCGAATATATTACCCATTGTTCAGAAATCACCCATCGATTCCATCCTGTCAACTCTCCTAACTCACAATTCGACATCAACGTATAATACGTCTTAGACGTAATTTTCGGCTTGCTTTCCGGCTTTCGACGAGCTATCCGTAAGGGAGGAACGACTTTTTCAATCAACTTCTGATCGTACAATGAATGTTACCTGAGAGTCGTGTCTCTTTTTCATAATGAAATCAATACAAAATTCATACGTCTTAGACGTACTATAAAATGGCCGAACGGGAGTTAAACTACACAACTACAATATCCGGTTTGCACTTTGAATGGCCGGCGGTGTTATTCGCCCAGGTACCGTTCGTGCGACATGTCATCGCCGCTGTCAGGCGGTCTGAGTGCTTTTGGATCTTATCCACTTTCGACGACTTTTCCTTCTCTGTCCATATCTTGACTGGAGGCATGTCATAGTTGACACCCGTTTCGTCAACGTTTAGGATGTCGCATGGCTCGTACGCGTGATACTTGTTCTAGAACTGGCCACCAAAGTTGTTGCGCAAACCCTCCATCTCGACGGACGGCATTTTCGTATAACATGGGACTCGTTGGAAAACGTTGTAACGCCGGGCGACGTCCTGGCCAACTTGAGAAGGGGCTTATACGAATCTCGCTTCCCAACCTTGTAGTCGTCGAGCCAGGCCGTATGGTACGTCTTCATGAACATAATCATGTGCATGGACGTGAGGACATGCTCATCCCATCGCACGTCTTTCATGAAACCGAGTAGTTCGTTCTTGAATGGGAAGGATTGTCGTGCGCTCTGGCCATCGAACATCTTTCGCTTCCCGTTGATGATTGTGCCCGTCAGTTTCTCCTTGCCTTGTTGCAATCCAATCCAAGTGCTTCGGGGGATGTCATGGGTGGCACAAAATACCCGGGTACTGATGGTTTCTTGGTCGAAACAGCCGGATATCTTTTGCTTTTCGCCAATGGTATACGATTTGTGGCATCGTCTCGGCATGGTAGTCAAAACGAGGAAATATCAACATTATTGACGCTTGCAGAATTTGAATTTTTATAATTGAATCCACCAATCAGTGTACTGCATTTGTTCTAAGCTTTGATTGGTTAATTTGATCAGGTTTACAAAATATTGGAGGTTAAGCAATTTATTAAAATAGTTCAAATAATACAGATGGTCGGCTTTTTGGGGGGTCGGTTTTTCCTGTAATTGGGCATCTGCCCGATGAATTGTGTCGTGTGCCCGATGAAAATGGAATAACTCAAATTAAAAATTAAAAATCACATAAAAAAGCAGTCGAAATGTAACAAGCAAAATCCTCGTTTTAGCATCACATGCCAACTTCCATGTCGTCCATGGTCTCCGCTCATCCGTGGTAGTATTCGAGGCGTAGCGCGTATCGATTGAAACGGTTAGCATTCGGGGACTATATTTCGAGCAGTGTTTTAGTTATCCCGTTGGCGTACGCCACGGATTTCCAGTCGTCGTCGTTTCTGAACGCTGCGACTACTCGATGCTTTGCGGAGAGAGGTATGCGTTTTAGGCGCCTCATGGGTATAGAGGGGGTTATCTAGTACTAGTACTTCAATTGACATCATAACCGGAGTCGGGGGTGTAGCTACGTCCATGCTGTGCGTTCCTTGGCGATTCGAATAATGAGCATTCAAAGTATTTCGGGGTTTCGTTGAGGAAAGTGCGCGCATATTATGAACTTAAACTTTACTTTATTCAAGTTATATATAAACTTCGAATTCGTGCCTTCACACGTTTTCCTCCGAACTTCAACCACAGGTGTTTCCACCAAAACTGATTTGCACTCCATGGAGTAATTGAGTTTGGATTATCATTTGTTTAAGACATTCCTCCGCGAGGGCCTATACTAGAACCACATGTTGTGGAACCGCTTCGCTAATTGTAACTGTCAAGTGAGCGCACATTGCAGGGTGTTGTCGCCCACACTTAAGGCGGTATGTCCTCATATGTGCGCTTCGGTGTCTGACCAATCAGCGGCTATCTCCTCGTAGCTTGGCGGTAGGGTAGGGGAAATACTCCACACTACTCATCCTAATTCACTCTTCGTTTTCCCCTGTTTTGCGCTCTTGTCCTCCTAGACATACGCTGTACTCGGTTGCTGCCTTCCTCTTTGGGCCTACTTTGACTTCTTGACAGGTTATGAGCCCTCACTCAACCTGTGCGCCGCTCTACAATGGGCCTCCTCTGGACGACCAGAACAGAACGTTCCTTGAATGGAAGCCGCTGTTCGTCAGCCAAGCCGATGGCCATGAGTTTACTCAATTCTACCTCAACAAGGCTTATATGCCTTCGGACCTTGAGCCGTCTATCTTGAGTATCCTCGATGACGATGTCCAAGTCGACAAGCTTAAGCAGCCCGAACTCTACTCAGTCGCGGACTTCACTGGTGATGGCCTAACCGTGCGACATAAGGCGATCGCTACTCACAACCAATCGGTGAAGAGTGCTACTCTGAAAACGGAACTTGCCAAGGCACTGTCTCGTCTACGTGCTCTGTCGCTAACGTTCCTAAAAAAAAACAAAAAAACTCGTCGATGTGGATTCCCTGCGGAAACTGTTCTCCAACATTACTTGCCGTTTTACTCTTTTTGAGTCAATTGTGTCTCGGTTCGAGAATAACCCACTCACCAGTGACCCTGCGGTGCTTAATGCCCAATCCCACAAGTTCAACTACCACGATGGTCACTGCACTGCCTGGACACTCTCTTGGCCGACGTCAAGTCCATCGCGAGTCGAGTCAGTATCGTGCTGCCATAATCCCTTCCTCGCTGGATATCGCTGCGTCCGATTACGATGCATTTCAATGGGCTAACCATTACATGGTGAAACTGTCGGAAGTATTTTTAGACGACAAGCAAATCTGGGACCTCATTCGTGCTATATCGAGCAACGCCAAGGCCTCGGGTCAGCCATGCTCCGTTGCATCCATCGACACGGCCATCAAGGACGCATTCTCGACGCGACACCTTCGTTCGCTTGCACTTGGCGAACATGGAACTGTCGACTCGACGCATACTCACTCGAACCTTAACGCTACTGTCGTCGAAGATGCCTCTAGTCCGGTTGGCCTAGTCACGCCACGCTCGTTACCATCGTATGCCCAGCACAAGTAAACAACAGGCTAGTGCGGTTGTGCTCGGGCAAAAAGGAGAGGAGATCGTTTGACAGTGTTTCCACGTAGTCGTCGGAGTTCTAGGAACAATGAACGAAGGCCAAATCGAGCTTGCCTTGACTTCAAAACCCACCACAAACCATAATACGGCCACCACCACTGTGCCGGGTCGAATAAGACTTCGGATCAACACTAATGTCTTGCCGGGCATACTTGCAGACGTCGGGGTCATCCAAGTTGAATTTCTTCTCGTCTGGCCAGATATTGTTGGTCCATGCCGGGGGAGTGTCAAGGTGCGGTACAAAATTCGAGCAGCTTTGTGCTGCTTTTAGAGCACTGATGTGTGTTTCAGCTTGCTATACTTCAATTGCAAGGCCCCAGCAAACTCACGGTGAACTGTTTGAGCGCTCACTTCGAACGGTAGGTCGGCGAGCAAGGCGCCAGAGATTTGGCCACTTGCAGCAGCGCGGCGGATGAGATGCACTCGGTCCCTCGCCAACAGCAATTTGCCAGGGCGACCCTTGTAACGGTCCCCATAGGTGCTGGGGGAATCTAAGTGTTCTTTCACGGCTTCGCGAGACTTGCCAAGTGCCTTGGCAATGAATCGGATGGACCTTCCGTCCTCGCGGTGGACCTCGGCCTGCCCTTGCTCCTTTTCGGTCAATTTTTATAGCAATGAGGCACTGTAATGTGTATTAGATTGTTAGATTAGATTGTACTAATGTTTGCAAGGTCTTCTTACTTCGAACGACGAAAAATCAATGCACCTTGAGATGAAATGCGCGTTTATTGGGATCCTGCAGGCCAGACTCGAAAAGTGTACAGCATGCACCTCCTTTGTCAAGACTGTTACTGTACATACTCGTATATGTATGTATACAGTGCTGGCGATAAGTATAGCACACATGCATTTTCACCAACAGGGGAAAGAAAAGCGTTGCTTTCAACAACAAAAGCTATACTATCCTTCGCAAGTACATCTCACAAACACTCGGCATGACCTTTCACAGCAATCGGATTGACCATACAGATTCAAAATAGAAGAAACCGTTTTACCTATTTTTTTGACATGGCAAAAACTATAGAACACCCACGTTTATTATCACACTCCAAGCGTTTAAAACCAATATAAGCGCGATTTTTATGTTCCCACCAATTACCTGAATCGATTTCCGCCTTAAGCTTTTCAAACGAGTGTGTGAACCATGCCAGCAGAAGCCCAAGACTGAGTCCTGAGGAGCAAGGCATGTTATTGGCCTTGCACAAAGCCGGCAAGAGCCAAATCGAGATGGCAACACTTGTGGGACGTTCCCGAAAGGCCGTTTTGCACTTCCTTGCCGACCCCGAGTCTTACAATGTCAACAAGCGCACGGTAAGGCCACCGAAAGTCACCCCACAAGAAGTTCGGCGGCTCTTTCGAACGGCATCCAACGCATACATTAACACGGAATTCACGATTTCTGACGATGCCAATCGATTCAGGAGGGGGATTACCCCGAGTACCCTCCCACCGACCACACTAAGCCAGCCGACTACCTATGGCCGTAACTTCCACTTGATTATACAATATGTACATCTATCTACTCATCTATACTAATTGGTTCAATGCCAATGTCATTCAGCACACTCATGAAATCGTCGGAGGACTCGATGCAGAGATCCTCGACTTATGCCTATGGTTTGTTGTAAGTTCAATGTTCAATATGCAGCCATTATAGTCCAGAGTACCAGTGTGAGCTAAAATAGATCGAAGCGTCGTGCGATTAGTGGCACTTGCAGTAGTTTAGCCTTTACCTCGGCTGCAGTGAATGCATGCTTTCGCCCTACTTTGCCTTTCTTCTTGTTGGCCACCGAAACCTGCATGTTGCCGGTGGCGACACCTTGGTCTTTGGCTCGTGCAAGGATCTTTCGAATGCACGACACGTTGCATTCGTACTTGCTTGCGAGGTACGGGCCAAAGCCCTTGGGTAGTCTTGAAGCGTAGCTGCCGTCGCTCTTCAGCAGTGTTTCACGGAGTATCGCTTCGCGCTCGTCGTTGGTCAAGTCCCGCCTTCCAGGTGCCATATGAGTGGATGTATGATCAGAGTGATGGTTTATACTTGAAAAATGTATATAGACTTTCGGCCTGGAGTTGAAAATGTTACGTTAAGAAGTTTCAAGCGCTGCGTACATCATGTTAAAGCCCTTGGCGCGCTTGTCATTCTTTCTTGTCCAATCAGCGCTGTAGAATTCGAAGCGAGGCGCAATACGTTGGATTTTGAATTACACTCTCAATTATAATGACAAGAAATGTCCCCCCTCCCCAAAATCGCTCCACAATTTTGGGACGGAGGGAGTACTGTATGTAGTATTCCGTGGAGGAATTACCTTGGTTACTTTGCTTTGCGCAACACAAGCCATTCATCCGGCATACTTACCTCGGCCCTTGGTCGCCAACGACACCAAAGTACAGTAAAACACTCCGTGGACATCGCAGCGTGACCATTCGCTGTAAAGAACCTTACCGCTGGAGTACTTGTGCACTGCTAGATTTTACATCGATAGCGGACTGGTGGATGGACGAGTTTGCCACCATAGAATAGGTTTGTGAGCTGGAAATTACTTCCCATCCTCTCCATCAGCGCTGAGATGAGCTCCACTTTGTGTTTTGTGATACCCATGAGGTCGCTCGCAACAATATATGTGATCTTAGTAGTTTCAGTATTGAAAATATGATTATTTAGTGTTGTGGTGGAAGGGGGGTTTCACACAGTGAAGGGAGATCGCACAGTGTTTACAAGCATCTCCAGTGTGAAGATGCTAACACGTACTGTGGTTCACGTTGCGAAAGTAAATGGAGATGCAGAGCTGGAGAACGTGGTTAATGTCTTTGTTGAATGAGGGGTAGTTGGAATCACTACTGGAGGTACCGGTAACGTGGTGTGCGTAGCTACATTAGGTTAAATCAAGGACCTACCTCAAGCGCAACCATTACTGTTAGACGCATTCGTAGGTTTTAAACGTCGCAAACGTTATATTGTCCATTGGGGGGCCCTGTCTAGACTACACAGCCCCCCCCCCGAATGGTCCCCATGCATTGTGGTGGGGCGCCGGCTGACGCCACCAGCCACAACAGAACTCCGACTGGTTCGACTTGTTTAATTTATGCTGATTTGTGTGCTCGGCAGTATTTCAACAAATACAAAGCCGTACATGTTAAATGTTAGTGATATGTTGCTAATTCGGCCGCCAGTCGAGTTGAAATAGCGTGGCGATATCCAGTCGTTTCTCGTTTACAGCGCTGTCCGAGGCCCCCTTGATGCCTTGGAACGCCTGTTTGATCAGCGCCGCTTTTGCCGTTTGGATGGCCACCACGCGCTCTTCGATGCTATTGGCCACGACAAACTTGAACACGTGCACAGGGCGCGTCTGGCCCAGTCGAAACACTCGGTCAATCGCTTGGGTTTCAATCGCAGTATTCCACCACGGATCTAATTCCTCCTTCATACTATTGTATATCACCAGAGGCACGTACCGAGCAAAAACACTTGCGATGCCTCCGTGATGTTTAACCCCATGGAACCACTACATACATAAATACACCTAAAACCATGGTCCATATCCCATCCAGTCCAAAGAGGATACCATTTCAACGACATGAGCAGGACATTCGGCCCATCTTCCTTGAAAGACTTCAAATGTTGGTCTCGAGTGGTGCGAGACATGGATCCGTCGTACGAAATGGAGGGGATGTCGTTGGCCTGCAGTACTTTTTTGGTCAGAGCGAGCATGGACGTCCACTGGCTGAACACGACCGACTTGACGCCAGGGGGAGTAAGTCGCAGTAGTTTGAGCAGAGCCTCCATCTTGGAACTAGGCAATACTTGGTCCATCTCCACCAAAGGAGGAGCGGCCACGTCCGCCACCAAGTGCGCCGGCTGGACGTCCTGCCGACACAGCGGACAAGTCGGTTTCGCTTGTAATGCACACAAGAGGCAAGGCCGGCAGTAGAAATGTCGACACATGGTGATCACTCTATGTATAACATTTGAGAATATTATGCGAAGTTGGAGTCCAATCGAATACAGGATAGCCAATGAAATATCTTCACTAATGGTAGTCCAAGGCTTTGGCCTCCCAGTTGAACTATTTGTATTCAATTTTCGTATGGTATACGTTGTATGGTATACAATTGTGCTTTGAGTCGATTTGTCAAATAAACTGCCCAGTCCAAGTTTCGGTGAAAAGGACAATATTGTTGTGTGTTTATTCTAAACTACATGGAGAATGAATCGACACAATCAAATACATGGACACAAGAATCATCGGCTGAAGGATATTTTAGCCAATCAGATTGCAGGAAACCCTCATCAACGTTAAATTAATGTGTGACTTCAATTAGTGTAATACCAAGGACACCTTTTTATATACAAAACTCAGTACAAACAATCGATCGATAGATTTGGCGAATCAGCACAAAAGTCCAAATTTTGGGGTAAAACGACAATACTAAGCCTAATCGATTCGAAACTGGAGCCTTCATTCAGAATCAAACAAGAGAATGGATTCAAGACCTGCCAATCAAATAACGTTCTGGTGAATTTCTGCCAATCCAACATTGGGCAAAACCATACTAGTATATATCCTAATCTTTGTACAAGCTTAAATTGGACCAAATGTCCAAATGTGGGTACTTTAATAAATAGTGTAAGGGAACGTACGCATCTTGGAGCGGGTCCATGCAGATGGCGCAGTCTTCGCCAGTGTCTGTGGCTTCCCGCAAGATTTCCACCAGCGTTTGCACCGCTTCGGTCGAGTAATCCACCGTGGACAACGGGGTTTCTTGTGCAACCCCTTGTCGCAGTTTTTGCACATAGTTGGATGGACATAAACTCAGGTGGTTGCACGTCTGACGCAGCCGCATCATCATCTCCAACACTGTCGCATATTGCCGCTCAAACGAGTTGGTGTCGAGGAGGTGCTGGAGGTGGCGTTTCGCAGCAACTTCGAGAGCTTCGTACTGCATCCGCTCCGTCGGGTTGAAACTGATCGGGTACGAGTATACGGTACAGGGCGGGAGGGCGACCATGGGCTGTCCATTGGCTTGTTTCATGGCTACATCCGTGGTCCAATTTAACTGCGAAAAGGTGTAGAAAGATCCAATGTTTGTCGAATACGAGTTTGCCATAAGTGGTTGCACCGGAACCGTAATATAAATATAAATTCATCTATTTCATCTATGTCATCCCACCTTTGGTGCGTCGCAGGGCCACGTCTTTCATCAACGCTTTGACATTTCGAATCCCGATCGGTTCTTCTCGTTTCAACGGCCTATATACACGATATCATTTGATATATTTAATATATAGATATCGTACCTGCCAATGCTGCGGGTCCACCAATACTGGTCGTCAAAGGGTTTATACCGTAAGAACGCCATCAACGCCGCCAAGTCGTCTATTTTATTCGTGATGGGCGTGCCAGAGAGCACCCACCGCCCGGCGGTCGCGTGCAGCTGGACGGCCGCTTTGAACATATGGGAGTTCTTGTTCTTGATCAAATGTCCTTCGTCCAAGATCACGCGGTCCCACGCCGTCTGCCGCAACGGCCCTTCCTTTTGCGCCTCCAAAGCCAACGTCTAGATACGATATGATCCAGTCGAATGAGCGGTAGACAAGCAATATATGTCGACCAATCAAAATAACCCACATCACGTGCGACCCAGTCAACACCGAATTAGTGTTTGACTCAATTAGTGTGATACTACACGATCTTTACAAAAGTCAGAACCAAGCATCGATCTGTGATAGATATTTGGCGAAAAATCTGCACTAAAGTCCAAATTTGGGGTAAAAGGGAAATGCAATAAATGAAGGAGCATTTATTGTCGATTTGATACAAATTTGGGGAGGGGGTGCAATCGAATCGCGCCGACCAAACCGATCCACAATCAATCTGATTGGTTGAATTTCATTGAGAAGGTTTTGATTGGCTAATAATTTCGAGCTCATCTGAAGTAGCCAATCAAATCGATTTAAATTCCAACGAGAAACCACGCCACAACACAATGAAATTTCACTCGAAAGCACAATATATTGTCATTTGTTCTACTCCTCCTCCGGCGGTTTGGTTGCATCAACCGCTAGACCTTCGAAATTTCATATAACACTGAGTTTACAGAGGTTCAATCAATCTTTTTAGCCAATCACATTGCAACCTTCATACTTCGTAGCCAATCATATCACAATATTTATAGTACCCCGTAGGTTGTCAAGACAATATCGTAAGCGTGGGCGGCATTGTTGTTACTGAGACGGGTCTTGTCGTGATGGACCAACACTCTGAACGCATTCGGTTCAAAGTGATTCATGGCTTGCTGTTGCCAGTTGCGCACCACTGACAACGGACACACGATCAGCGTGGCTTTGCGACAGTTTGGCTTTTGCGATGCCAGAATCCACGTCAGCATCGTCAGAGTTTTGCCCAGTCCCATCTAAATCAAACCACAGTCAATACAATTTATTACACAAAATCAATGTATGTATATACACAGATGAATGACTTAGCCAATCACATCACGTCCTCGAATTCGTGTGCATCCTAAATTAGTGTGTTTCCCACAAATTCACGGTAACGTTCCAAAAATCGATCAAATAGCCCAAAATCAGTCCAAATTTTGACCCGATTTGGCCAATTCAACGTACGTCGTCTGCCAAGATGCCGCCGCGGCAGAGGTCGGGCATCGTGTCCTGCTCAGTATGGGTAGCTTGGTGGACATAGTAGGGTTTGGCTTGGTGGTCATGTCGTTGCCACAGTTGTACAGATGCATTCGATTGAACGAACGACGGAGTTTCTTTCTGCTGAATCCACTGCAAAGCTTGGAGTTGGTGCGGCAGCAACGTCGATCGAAGCGTCAAAGGGAGCTGGGCTGTATCCATCACAGGCAACGCCATCACGTCCACTTCCCCCGCAAACAGAGAATCCTACAACCCCCTCAGAAAAAACAACCTCATAATCGATAAAAAGTACACGACCTTATCGTCGAGTGAGAACCGGCTCTTTCCCTTCAACCCAATCGCCGCTGAATACGTATCGTCCTTTGGCGGGATGAGGCCGTACAGTTTCAATGCATCCATCACGCGGCTTCGATGGGCTTCTTGGCCGTACACAGACAGCACTATGGGCATCGTGTACGTTCCAGGGGCCGCTATTGTCGATTCCAAATCAATATGACCACAAGAATCGATATATAGTGTGATATTCGCTATAAACTTGCACAAGTCGTCAGTTGGGTTGTCTAATCAATATTGAATCATCACGCTGGACTTGTGATTGGTTGAATATATATGTGTCCTTTATGTAAGAGCCAATCAAATATATCCACTCGAAAATAGATTAACCAATAGCGTCGATTCGTGATTCGACGGATCCACAATATCGACCAATCAAAACACAGAACACGAATCAAGTGGCCAATCAATACCCTCTCTTCGACCAAGTCGACATCGAATTAGTGTATGATTGAAATTAGTGTGACTCTGGACGATGTTTACATACATTTGGTGACAATCAGTCCAAAGTTTAGGTAACCCATGGACGTGAAACATGAGATGTATGTGGATGTCACGTACATGGACACATGCCTTCCATGGTCATGACGCCGCTGTCCAAGAAAGGCGCCGACACCGCCGCCAAGTCGCGAGGAATGTGCCCGACCATCACCCCCGACAGGTTGAAGACCGCGATGGCGTTGCGGTCGTACTGGTTTGTCGGCTGCCGCACCAAAGACACGGCTTCCTTCTTCCCCACTCGACCGTGGTAGTGCTGGATCCCAACGATTCGATGCTTGAACGACCCGAGCAACACGTCCTCTGGCACCACCACAGGGGGGTCGGTAACGTCGACGACCTCGGCAATTTCCACAGAAGGGGCTGCCGACGAACCGCCTAAGTGGAGTGTGGCGACGCTTCGGATGCCTCCGGTGTCGAGCAGGTCGGTCAAGTACGACGGCACTGCCGGACTCGTGAGATCCACCACGGCTGCCTTGACTTGCTTGCCTTTTGCAGCACGCTTCTTCACTGGAGGAGTAGGAGGGGCGGCACCGTCATGGGTCAAGTCCACCACCGCAACTGTAGCAGCCTTGGCTTTGCGCTTCTTCACAGAAGGAGAGGGAGTGGTGGCGCTGTCTTGAGTCAAGTCCACCGCCGCAGCCGCCGCCTTTGCCTTGCGCTTCGACGCGGCTGACACCGATACCTCGGCATTGGGGTCTTTACGAGGGCGACCTCTTCCTCGTTTTACAGGAACTTCCACGACGTCTACCACATCATACATGATGCCCTTGCTCCATCACGCACATACACATACACGACGTACCCATGTCCGAATTATTTACTCGCACAAAATGGCGCTTCCAATTCGCGCCCCACTGTCCTTTTTAATCCGGTTAAACATGAATTTATCCGGAATAGCCAGCGCGTTGGGGGTTTCGGGGTTTAACCTGAATGATGGAAGTGCGGCACTTCCATCATTCAGGTCACATTAGGTCACATATATGTACCGGGTACCCCAGGAGAAGGCCTTTATGTCCTGATGAATGCCGTTATGTTTGCCCTCTGATGTATGGACCTTTCTTCCTCTCAATACTCTACTTGTCGCGATGCACATCATACTGAGATGCAGGGGTTGTCCGAGGTTTCAGGGTTCCAACGTCGCTACCGGGTAGATTTCGACGGGGAGTTATGAAGGTACAGACATCTGCGCGTAACATGTGCATGATGTCATTCGGGCTGCGTGCATTTGATCGTGTATCTCCTCGTGCCGCGTCTGTCTCCTCATCGCGTCGAGCCTTCGTTGTGCAGGACAGACAACAGCTCGAAAGTACAAAGACGTTTTATCATTTAGACGACAACGATGCGAGCAATGTTTCGCTGCAGCATTTGAATAAAACGTAGTAGACGTCTACATGGGTTTTCTACGACGTCTCTTGGTTTTTGTATACTTATAGTGAAGAACGAGCGCAAGGGCCATTCGTTTTTACCATGGAATTTCGACCACGACCATTCTTTTCAGTTTTGAAAAAGTCGTCGCGGGAAGAGCAAGCATGTTCGGCGGTGGGTTTGAATCGTTCTTTGGCGAAGGACACGGCCACGGAGGACATTCCAAGCCTGTGGACAACACGAAATTCTACGAAACTCTCGGGGTCCCGAAGAATGCCACGGCCGCCGACATCAAGAAGGCGTACCGCAAGCTTGCCTTGAAGAACCACCCTGACAAGGGCGGTGACCCCGAACTCTTCAAGGACATCACCGTCGCGTACGAAGCGTTGTCGGATCCTGAAAAGCGCGAACTGTACGACCAATATGGCGAAGAAGGTTTGCAGCATGGCGGAGGCGGCGGACACCATGGTGGCGACATGTTCTCTCAAATGTTTGGCGGTCGTGGGGGTGGACGTCCCCGCGGCCCCCAACGCGGTGAAGACTTGACCCATCCGTTGAAGGTCTCGCTGGAAGACTTGTACAATGGCAAGACGGTCAAACTGGCTGTGAACCGCGACGTCTTGTGCGGCGGGTGTGCCGGTCGCGGTGGCGCCGAAGGCGCGGAAACCTCGTGCGGCACGTGCAACGGTCGCGGCATGCGCATCCAGCACCGTCAGATCGCTCCGGGCATGGTCCAACAAGTCCAGTCTGTATGTCCCGACTGCCGCGGCCAAGGCAAGTCGATCCGCGAATCGGACCGATGCAAGGTGTGCAGAGGCAACAAAGTGACCAAGGAGCGCAAGGTGCTCGAAGTGCACATCGAGAAGGGCATGCGCAACGGCCAGCGCATCACATTCAGCGGAGAAGCCGACCAGGCGCCCGGAACCATCGCCGGCGACATCATCTTTGTCGTGCAGGAGAAGGAGCACGCCGTGTTCCAGCGCAAGGGCGGCAACCTCATCTTGGAGAAGAAGATCTCGCTCGTGGAAGCATTAACTGGCTTTGAAACGGTCGTGGAGCATCTGGACGGCCGCCACTTGCACGTCAAGAGCGTCGGCGGTGAAGTGATCAAGCCCAACCAGTTCAAGGCCGTCCAGGGCGAAGGCATGCCGCAGCACGGCAACCCGTTCGTCAAGGGGCAGCTCGTGATCCTCTTCAAGGTGGAATTCCCATCGCAGGTGTCGGCAGAACAGACTAAGCTGCTGCTGTCCGTGTTCCGCCGCCCGCCGTCGTCCGTGCCGCGCCTGTCCGATGACTCGGAGGAAGTGTTCTTGTCTGATTTTGACGCGGAAGCCGCCCAGGATCAGGCCCAGCGCGACGCTTATGACTCGGACGATGACCGCGGCGGCCAGCAGCGCGGCGTCCAGTGCCAACAGCAATAAGCCCCACCTTGCGCTATTTTTTATACTAATATCAATAGAGACAACGTCATGTGGATCATCTGGGATTGCTCTATTTCTCATTGTACGTTTCCCATCACTTTGCGATGTGTACTGACTGTACTGTACGTATGTATTCCTTGAGTATTTTTAACGTTACTAACAGTAACCTTATTAATACTTGAAAAAAGATCAATTAACGTTAGTATTTTAATACTTCCTCCGTTTCGAAAGTACTATCATTAATACCCTCGAAAAAGAACATTTGAGTACAGTTGTATTATTTAATAATTGTAAGCTTATTATTAATACTACGTACTTTAGTAGTACTACTGTACTCAAGCAAAATTTAAAAAAGATAAATTAACGGTAACGTTAGTATTAAAATACTAACGTTAATTTATCTTAAGCCCACCCGTGGGATTTACAGTATCGAATGAGGTTTATTCGGATAATGTACGGATAACAGCGAGATTTATCCCGGGATAAATCTCAATTCCCCACCCATCAGATTTATTCCGATTCACACATAAAGGCCGCCGCACTCGGACTACATGTAGCTGCTACGAGTGCGGCAACAAATGAATCCCACATGGGATACAGTAGAAATCTATCATGTCGAAGCGCATGCCGCAGTTCGACGCCGCAAGTTATCTCACTCGTCACTAAAAAGAGGGCACACCCTTGAGCTTATCGATTATCACAGCATGCGTATTCTCATACCATGAGCCAACTGTGACGTGGACTCTGACAAAACAATCTACGTGGTGCTCACTAATTCGTTTACCCTGCTGATGCCGCCATCACCGCCCTCACAATCGTAGGGCTGTGACAGTCGGTGGCGTTCAGACGTCCAATTAACTGTAAGCATCGACAGGGGTTATCGTACGTTCTACGTTGAAATTGCGCGTTGAGTTCAATAAAATGGAAATTTTATGCATATTTTGTGATGGAACTTCAATTTACTATGCCAAATATTGCTTTGGGTTATTATTTTGATATTACTATGAATTCGGATAGCATAAATCTGATGGATAAATCGAGGCGAAAAAGTCCTATTATAGAACTGGGGCCAGATTTATGTTTGGATCTTTCAAATATAAACCTGACCCCTATAAAACCTGCTGGTGGGAACAATAAGTCCGGGGTGGTCCTATCTAAGGGTTATCCGTAAAAATCTGTGCTATGGTGCTAGACTACAGATCGGCCATCCTCAGGAGGAGACGTTTTACTATTAAACGCCTCGGTTCTTTCAATTAAACCGACGTAATATTGACGTTAAATCATTATTAGTTACGTTTTTTACCTGGTAATTAGGTTAAACATTGTGAATAATCCGGATACAATGAAAACGATCGTACGGATAAGTGCTGTATACAAAGACCAAGATATACTTGATACTCGTTTTCGGCCAAAATGTACCTGGTTCCATACATCTCCATACAAAAAGGCCGGTTTGGTTTAAATTCTATTACTCGATCAATTTTTCACCAATCGAAAATCTGAACCGTAACTTCTGTTGGGCTTGTCCAGTTCTATCGTTATTACGGTATATTTTCCTAAATAATATCAATACAAAGTTGGAATAGCTGTCGAAAGTCAAGGCATTTATTTGTAACGTTAGTCTTTAGGTGACTTGCACCATATAACTCCACCGGTCGTCTCCAACTCCACCGGTAACGTTAAAATACTCAAGGAATACGTACAGTACAGTCAGTACATATCGCAAAGTGATGGGAAAAATCCTTGATTCATGTGTTCACCATACAACGAGAATAGAACACTCCCACATGATCCACATGACGTTATCTCTATTGATATTAGAATAAAAAATAGCGCAAGGTGGGGCTTATTGCTGTTGGCACTGGACGCCGCAGTCATCGTCCGAGTCATAAGCGTCGCGTCCCATCCGAAGTCCATTTAAAGTCTTAATCAGGGCAATAAAAATGACAAAGTTTGCCGCTCAAACACAAACAGGCGATCAGTGGTTAGCCGAAGTTTAAACTGGTTTAAATATATATATATATATATTGCGTGTGTTTTGCACAAAATTCCATGCAATCCAAAGTAATACAAATATTGATACTGTATACGATTTCACAGGTCGTTTCGAAACAGGTTTGTTGGAGATGTGGTCGAGTATAACATGTGACAGGTTTACTTATACGGCTGGAATGCATCGCAGTGTGAAAATTGCCATGGACTACACGAGCGATTCGAATGTGTCGCAGGAAGATGCGTGGGCCGTGATCTCTGCGTACTTCGAGGAGAAGGGGCTAGTGCGCCAGCAGCTGGACTCGTTCGATGAGTTCATCCAGAACACGATGCAGGAACTCATCGACGACTCCCGGGACATCCGCATCACCCCCGAGGCGCAGTACAACCCTGGCCAGAAGACCAACCGCGTCACGGACACGATCTACCAGATCCAGTTCGGCCAGATCTACCTGAGTAAGTGTACGATGACAGAGAGCGACGGAAGCACCTCTGTGATGTTCCCGCATGAAGCGCGGCTTCGCAACTTGACGTACTCGGCGCCGTTGTACGTGGACGTGACGTGCCAAAAGTACCAGGCCGGCACGGTTCCGATTGAGGAACAGGACCCGTACGAGGAAGAGACGACCGCGAAGGAATTCATCGGGAGCATCCCCATCATGTTGCGGTCCAAGTATTGCGTGCTGACGGACAAATCGGACAAGGAACTGACGGAACTGAACGAGTGCGTGTACGATCAAGGCGGGTACTTTGTCATCAACGGGAGCGAGAAAGTGCTGATCGCGCAGGAGCGCATGAGCAACAACCACGTGTACTGTTTCAAGAAGTCGAGCATCTCCAAGTACTCGTGGGTGTGCGAGACGCGCAGCCACGTCGAGCGCGGGGTGCGGCCCACGTCCACCATGTACGTGCAGATGTACGCCAAGTCGGGCGGCAAGTCAGCCGTGTCTGGCCACCAGATCCGCGCCGTGATCCCGTACATCCGCCAGGACATCCCCGTCGTGATCATCTTCCGCGCGCTGGGTTTCGTGGCCGACCGCGAGATCCTCGAACACATTTGCTACGACTTTACCGACGTCGAGCTCATGGAGCGCTTCAAGCCTTCCCTCGAGGAGGCGTTTGTGATCCAGGAGCAGGAAGTCGCGCTCGACTTTATCGGTCGCCGCGGGTCCGCCGTGAACGTATCCAAGGCCGATCGGTTGCGGTGCGTCGTCTGTCCTTTCTCGAAAAAATATTTTTTTTTTAAATATTTTTTTTTCCTAGGTACGCGCAAGATATCTTGCAAAAAGAAATGCTTCCCCACGTGGGCGTAGAAGACCACAACGAGACGAAAAAAGCCTACTTTTTGGGGTATGTCGTGCACAAGCTGCTCATGTGTTCACTGGGCCGACTGGGCGAAGACGACCGCGATCATTACGGGAACAAGCGGCTGGACCTGGCGGGACCGCTGCTGGGCGGCCTGTTCCGCGTCTTGTTCAAGAAGCTGACCAAGGACGTCAAGGGGTACCTGCAAAAGTGCGTGGACGCGGGGCGCGACTTCCAGCTAAGCCTAGCGATCAAGTCGAAAACCATCTCCAACGGTCTGCGGTACTCGCTAGCTACGGGTAACTGGGGCATGCAGAAGACCGCGTCCAAGGCGGGCGTGTCGCAGGTGCTCAACCGCCTCACGTATGCGTCTTCATTGTCCCATCTCCGCCGACTCAATACTCCGCTGGGGAGAGAAGGCAAGCAGGCCAAACCCCGCCAGCTGCACAATACGCATTGGGGTATGATCTGCCCCGCGGAAACCCCCGAAGGACAAGCGGTCGGACTCGTCAAGAACCTCGCCCTCATGGCGTACATCTCGGTGGGGTCCCCCCAAGCACCCATCTTGGAGTTTTTAGAGGAGTGGTCTACTGAAAACCTCGAGGAAATCACGGCACAGATCATCCCCACTGCCACCAAGATCTTTGTCAATGGCAACTGGGTCGGCGTCCACCGTGAACCCAACGAACTCGTCAAAACCCTGCGATCGCTCCGTCGGTATGTATATGTATATATATCAGGTTTAACAGGTCCCGTGGGCGTGTTTAGTATGTGTTTTGAAGGGTTTTGTAATTTGAAGGGTTTTGTAACCCGTTCGAAACAACACGAGTGTGTTGTTGTTTTTTATCTCATTTTTTTTGTTTCGTACGTGTCCGATTCAATCATACGGCGTAGTTTTGAAATTCTATCAATTTGACTATTTCGATGTATATACTATTAAGAGTATTTCTCGAATATGCTGCTTAACCATGTATATATAGATGCGTCGACATTGACGCCGAAGTGTCTGTGATTCGCGACTTGATGCAAAAGGAGCTGCGCATCTACACGGACGCCGGCCGCGTGTGTCGTCCGCTGTTTATCGTAGAAAACAATCGGCTTTTGCTGCAAAAGCAGCACGTGGTCAAGCTGCAAAACCACAAGCACACGCAGTTTCGGTGGCAGAACCTGCTCACGGAGGGCGTCGTGGAGCTAATTGACACAGAGGAAGAGGAGGTTTGCATGATTGCTATGGAGCCCAAGGACCTGCGCAACGCCCGGTCGCTGTACACGCACTGCGAAATCCACCCGTCTATGATTCTCGGTAAGTTATATTCTTCTCTCTTTATAAATGATATTCACACGTATTGTGATTTCATTGTGTTGTGGTTTCTCGTTGGAATTGAAATCGATTTGATTGGCTACCTCAGATGAGTCAAAATTATTAGCCAATCAAAACCTTCTCAATGAAATTCAACAACCAATCAGATTATCGATTGTGGATTCAAATCGACAATATATATGTAGGTATTTGCGCGTCCATTATTCCGTTCCCAGACCACAACCAGAGTCCACGTAACACGTACCAGAGTGCCATGGGCAAGCAAGCAATGGTATATATATATTATATATATATATATATATATATATATATATATATATGTATAAATATATATTGATGTCTTGGTAGGGAATTTATAGCTCCAACTTTCGCGCGCGTATGGATACGATGGCAAATATATTGAATTACCCGCAAAAGCCACTGGTGACGACTCGCGCGATGGAATATCTGCACTTTCGAGAACTTCCCAGTGGCGTCAACGCGATTGTGGCCATTGCTACGTACACGGGATACAACCAGGAAGATTCTCTCATTATGAACCAAAGCGCGATTGATCGAGGTAATCAAATATCACTCGTGAAATCATATATATTATATGTTATTCAAAATCCCAAACTATATATATATACTAGGCCTGTTTCGATCGACGTTTTACCGATGCTACGTGGACCAAGAGCGCAACAAATCGCCGCACGGGATTGGCGGCGGGTCTGGCTTTCTCAATTCAGAGGAGTTTGAAAAGCCCACGCGCGCCACGTGTCTGCGTCTAAAGCACGGATCGTACCATAAACTAGACGCCGATGGGCTCGTGGCCCCAGGTACCCGCGTATCCGGCAGCGATATCATCATCGGCAAGACGTGTCCATTGCCCAGCAACGACGAGAACGGCCTGGAAGCCCGCCATCAGAAGCGCGACGCTTCGACGACACTGCGGACCCACGAGAATGGCATTATCGACTCTGTCATGCTGACCACCAACGCCGAGGGCTTCAAGTTCACCAAAGTGCGGTTCCGCAATATCCGCATACCCCAAATAGGCGACAAGTTTGCATCACGACACGGACAAAAGGGAACGATTGGCATGACGTATCGCCAGGAAGACATGCCGTTTACGATCGAAGGTAGTTAGTTGGTTTTGGTGGTTTTGATGACATTTCGTAGGTGTGACGCCCGATATTGTCGTCAACCCCCATGCGATTCCGTCGCGCATGACCATTGGACACTTGATCGAGTGTCTTCTGGGTAAAGTCAGCTCCCAGACCGGTGACGAAGGCGACGCGACGCCGTTCACGGACGTGACGGTGCAGGCCATCTCGGACACGCTGCACAGCCTCGGGTATATATATATATATTGTCGTTTTAGTCAAAATGTGGACTTTTGGCCTGATTTTCGCCAAATCCAACGTTGATCCATTGTTTGACGTTTGTATGTAAAGATGAGCGTCCAGTTTCAGACTCATTTGATTCATACACGAATTCGATGTTGACTTGGTCGAAGACTGGATTTGATTGGCTAGTTGATTCATGTTTTGAGTTTTGATTGGTCGATATATCGATTGTCTGCCTTCGATTTGGTGCTGCTCAGTCGATGGAGCAACAAACCCACTCGAATTTCGAATAATCGACTTGACAATATGGAAAATATGTTGTTCTGTGGGGATTGGTATTCACTAATTTAAAGTCACACACGAAAATTCGATATTATTTCCTGCAATCTGATTGGCTCAATTTTTTTCTTTCAGTCTTGTGTACATTATTTGATCAATCATTCATTCTCCATGCACACACACCACATTGAATCTCTTCATTTATATTCTCGTTCTTTCATTTTTTCATTTATTCTTCTTTCATTCATTTACTTACCCCGTCGTGGTTGTTTAGGTACCAGCGGTTTGGGAACGAAGTACTGTACAACGGACACACGGGGCGGCGTCTCCAGGCGCAGATCTTCATTGGGCCGACGTTTTACCAGCGACTCAAGCACATGGTGGACGACAAGATCCACTCGCGGTCCCGCGGCCCCGTGACCATGCTCACGCGGCAGCCGCTCGAGGGCCGCGCGCGCGAAGGCGGTCTTCGCATGGGCGAGATGGAGCGCGACTGTCTGATCTCGCACGGGTCTGCCAACTTTTTGATGGACCGGCTCTTTGCCAACTCGGACGCGTACCGCGTGCATGTATGTGATCTGTGCGGGATCATCGCGATTGCCAACTTGAGAAAGATGACGTTCGAGTGCCGCACGTGCCGCAACAAGACGCAGATCTCCCAGGTGCACATCCCGTACTCGTGCAAACTGCTCTTCCAGGAACTCATGGCCATGAGCATCGCGCCCCGCCTCTTTACCATGGGCAACCCCAACCTACTCGTCAAAGCCTAGGATATATCGATTTTATAGTACTAAAACAAGAGCACGTCAATATTAGGGGGTTCCAAGTTGTCCCCTATAGTGAAAAAACAGTCGATTGCATGGTCGAAGTACACAAGTGTTTGCTTTCACTGGCAAAATTGGTTTTCGATAAGGAATATTTCCGACAGATTTCCAGATCGAATGTGGTCACCCAATAGGTGAATCACGAATCGACGCTATTGGCTAATCCATTTTTTGAGTGGATTTGATTGGCTCTTACAGTGAGGACAAGCATATTCAACCAATCAAAACTCAAGCGGTTCAATTTTGATTAGTTGGACAAAGAATATTCACAATACAGTTAAGCAGAATTTCATATTATCTTTTTTATCGTTTCAAGTCTCTGATCATACCTCATGGTATTATAATAGGTATATTATGACCGAAACATAGACATCGTGATGTGATTGGCTATATAAACCATGGCAGCAGCGCGACTGCGGCAGCTCATGGTGTTGAGCCGAGACGTGGCCAAGAGCACGAGGTTCTACCAAGACGGTCTGGGCCTGCAACTCATCCGGCAGTCGGGTTCATTCAGTGAGTTCGACATGCAGGCGGGAGTGACGCTCAGCATCAAGCAAGCGCACGGGTACGTCCGTCCGTCGTCGATGTCGAGGTGTGTGTCTCATTCGTGGTGGTATGTGTGGTAGGGAGGCTGCATGCAGTGCCGGGTACTCTCCGTTCCTCAACTTTGACGTGCAAGACATGATGGAGACGATCCCGAGACTCATTAGCCTTGGAGCGGCAATGGACGGCCCGATCAAATACCCCGCGTTCGGTACGTCGATCCCCGTGAACGTGGACATCTCAAGCGTGTGACTTTAGGCAAAGTGGCAGCCGTGCGATCGCCTGATGGAACGATGATTGGACTGTACGAATCCAACACGATGGACTCGGCCACGTCAGCATAACCACCCGCCCGTAGACGCTGCTTACTAGTCTTTCCCCTCATACAAAGTAACATGGAGGATGCCCTCCACATATGTACCAGTTCAAGTACACGAGTGACTTGGCATCATGCACTCAAGTGTCCTGATTGATCATGCCTTCAGCGTTTTTTGCTAAACTTGCGTTTATTGTGTTTTGAGACACGTTGCGTTAAATAGTTAAATGTGCACAGGTTATCAAAACCGGATACATGTATCCGGATGATGTCAGCTCCGAAAGCATCATTTCCGATCCAACGACATGAGTCGGGTGCAGTCGGCCAAGATTGCGCAGATCAGCATGCTTCTGCGGGTCCTCCAAGGAGTCAGTGGCGCCATCATCCTCATCTGTCTTCTGTCCACGTATCGCCCGGTCGTGCTCTCTGACATAGCGAATAACGTGGACTCGAAGGAGTACATCGCCGTCAACTTGTCTCACTTCTTCCTCGCCATTGCCGCGTCCTTGAGCATCGCGTACGGGGTGATCCAGGTGGTGTTTGAAGTCATCCTGTCGCGGATCAAGACGGACGCGCTCTTGGAGCGGTGCGCAGATGCGTTTCTCGCGAGTCTTTTCGTCGTCGTGGCATGCGTGACGGCACCGAGCATGGACTGCTCACCGTCCAAGTACCAAAAGTGCACGAACTTCCAGGTCGCGGTCGTGTTTGCCTTCCTCAGCGCCGTGTTGTTCGTGGTGTCCATCGCATTCAACGCCCAATTCAAGTCCATTCGACGGGGCAACCCCGACGCCACCGAGAACTTGGTCCCGCGAGGTCGCTTCGGAGGTGCAGACGAGTCGGCGGTGCTCGAGTCCCGCCATCCCAAGAAGCCGAAGAAGAAGGCGGCGGCAGACCAGAGCAAAGACCTGGACGAGGTCGAGCCGCGGGGCCACTTCGGGTCAGTTCGCTGCGCCGACTTCACCGCCGCCAACCCCTCCCACGACGAATACGCCGATGAAGACGTGTACTTTAACAGCAGTCACAGGGACCTGCTGGTCAAGCCCACCAAGGGAAGTGTGTAGCTCATTTCGTAAAGTTTCATTCCATGTGCATCGATAACGTTAGTGTGGACTACGACTGATGGTTCGAAGTGATAGAATTGTTAGATATGTCGTTATTGCTGCTGGCATTGGACGCCGCCGGGGCCTCCCCGCTGCCCCCGGTCGTCGTCCGAGTCGTATGCTTCTTGCGACGCTTGGTGCTTGGCGGCCTCGGCGTCGAAGTCGGACAAAAACGCTTCCTCGGCATCCGTCACGTGCCCCAACCGAGGCGGCGCCGGGAACAAAGTCTTGAGCGCCGCGGCTTGGGCCGGGGTCACTTGGTTGGGGAATTCGACCTTGAAGAGGATCACCAGCTGCCCCTTCACGTACGGGTTGCCGTGCTGCGGCATGCCTTCGCCATGCACGGCCTTGAACTGGTTGGGCTTGATCACGTCCCCGGCAACTGTCTTCACGTGCAAGTGGCGGCCGTCCAAGTGTTCCACAATCGTTTCAAAGCCCGTGAGTGCTTCTACGAGCGAGATCTTCTTCTCGAAGATGAGGTTGCCGCCCTTGCGCTGGAACACCGGGTGCTCCTTCTCTTGGACGACAAACACAATGTCGCCGGCCACCAGCCCTGGCGCTTGGTCGGCCTCGCCCTTGAACGTGATGCGCTGGCCGTTGCGCATGCCCTTCTCGATGTGCACTTCGAGCACCTTGCGCTCCTTGGTCACTTTGTTGCCTCTGCACACCTTGCATCGATCCGATTCGCGGATCGACTTGCCTTGACCGCGGCAGTCGGGACATACAGACTGGACTTGTTGGACCATGCCCGGAGCGATCTGACGGTGCTGGATTCGCATGCCGCGACCGTTGCACGTGCCACACGAGGTTTCCGCACCTTCGGGGCCGCCGCGGCCAGCACATCCGCCGCACAAGACGTCGCGGTTCACAGCCAGTTTGACCGTCTTGCCATTGTACAAGTCTTCCAGCGAGACCTTCAACGGATGGGTCAAGTCTTCACCGCGTTGGGGGCCGCGGGGACGTCCACCACCACCTCCGAACATTTGGGAAAAGATGTCGGCACCAGGATGGCCACCACCGCCACCTTGCTGCAAACCTTCTTCGCCATACTTGTCGTACAGCTCACGCTTTTCAGGATCCGAGAGCACTTCGTATGCGACGGTGATGTCCTTGAAGAGTTCGGGGTCACCTCCCTTGTCAGGGTGGTTCTTCAAGGCAAGCTTGCGGTACGCCTTCTTGATATCGGCGGCACTGGCCGTCTTGGGCACTCCCAATGTCTCGTAGTAAGCACTGTTGTCCGCGGCCTTGGACGCGCCGCCACCGCGGGGGTCTCCGCCGCCGAAGAAACTTTCGAAGCCGCCGCCACCTCCACCGAACATTGTGAAAAGGAAAATGATCCGACTGCAATTGGAACTTTTGCAACAAATCCTTGGGTAAACGACAGCCGTCCCATTCAAACTGGTGTTCCTGCTGTACACATATCCTCTTTAAGAGTAGATTTGAATCTTTCAGGTAGACACGGTTTACCCTTCGACCTCGTTCCTGGCGTGTGATTGGACAAGCTCTAGCGAATCAAATCAATGGAGGGATGCACTTTGAAAATGTATGGCGCAATCGATCATGGAAATTTCGAGAAGATCTGGGGATGTTCGAGAAGGCGTCCACGAGGGTTGCATTTTGATTGGTCCATTTTTGAAATAATCGCCAATTATTTCGACTAAATTGTTAAGAAAACACCAAAAGTCAAAAAGTATGATTTAGTACTTCGAAGTAGTTAACACTGTTAAGGCGCGCAGTACAAAGCAAATTGGCGGCATGCGCGTTCACTTGTCGACCAGGTCATGGATGCGAGAGCACCCCACGGCCGACGCGCATCGAGCACAGAGCGTTTCCTGAGCTTCATTGACTTCGTTGGCGAACTTCCAGCACCGAGGGCACTTGTGACCTTGAGCCGGCCGCACCACGACCTTCACGGGGAACTTCTCCAGCACTAGGGTCGTTTCGCCAGTCGTCGTAGCATCCAATGCATGCAACGTCACCCCCGAGCAAAGCAACATGTCTTCCAGAATGCGCGGGTTCACTTGGTTCAAGATCGCTGCAAGTTCACCATCAGCATGAATCTACATATCATATCGTTGCATCAACGACGAACTGGTATTGTCGTGTGTACGTCAATGTTGCACTCCATCGTCGTCTTGATCGCTCCTTGTTCACGCAACTGCTCCACTGTTCGATTGACCTGCAATCGCAGCGACCGAAGTACTTCCCACGTCGCCACCACTTCTGCGTTATGCCATTCAGGCTACAACACCCCTTAACAAGATTCTACTCATGCATGCATCAAGCATGCTTACCTTGGGACTGAACCACCCGTCCAAGAAGACGCTTCCAGGCACGTCGTTCACCATGGCGTTCGTGAACTGCGCCAGGCGATGCAGTCGAATGTCCTCTGCTGTGTGGCACACCACGGGGGCAATGGCAGTGGTGATCGTCTGCAGGGCCGCATCCAGCACCTGTTCCCATACTTCCTTAGATACCTTCCTCCATCTTCATGGAGTCATCCTTACCGTCTGCGCAGACCGGCGGAACGGATCCGTCGGCGCCTCGCAATACAACCGATCTTTGCATGCTTCCATGTAGAACGCAGATAAGTCCGTCGCAATAAAGTGCGCCAACGCCTGCTGCACTTTATTGAACGCAAATGTCTCGTACCTAATCGAGCCCATCAAACATCTCGACATTGAGAAAGTCGACCAACCCGTCGGTGATCTGGGCCTGGAGCTCATGCAGCAAGTGCAGCATATACTGGTCCAGCGACGTCATGTCGTCGTACGCCACGGCGTCCACGCGGGGGTCGAAGTCGTTCAGGTTGGCCAGAAGGAACCGCGCCGTGTTGCGCACCTACACGCTGTTGGCCCAAGAAAGGGAGAGTCATTGGTCGTACTTTTCGAACATGGTCGCTGATCTTGACCATGGTGGAGGGACCGATGCCCACTTGGCTCGTGTAATCCGTGGACGCGACCCAGTACCGGAGCGTATCCACGCCGTACGCGGGGATCTTCTTCTTCGGGTGTCCTTCGATGATGTCGTGCGGCACGAGCACATTCCCCAGCGATTTCGACATCTTTTGGCCACGTTCGTCCAGAATGAACCCGTGCGTGATCACGTTCTTGTACGGTGCCGTGCGCTGCACGGCCAACGACGTAAGCAACGACGATTGAAACCACCCGCGATGTTGGTCCGAGCCTAGTGCAACCCACTGTGGGAAACAATCGCAGGGAATTTTCCCATTCTACCTTCGAGGTACACGTCGGCCACAGTGTCCTTAGGAAGCACGGCATACCACGAACTCCCAGAGTCGAACCACACGTCCAACGTGTCGGTGCCCTTGACGTACTGCGCTGGATCGAACCCCGGCGCAAGCAGCGTCGCCAGCGGCTGCGTCCACCACGCGTCCGTGCCGCCACGTTCCAGCATGACCTTCTGGACGTGGGAAATCGTCGTGTCATTCAGCAAGGGCTCCAATGTGTCCTTGTCGTAAAACACTGGGATAGGCACACCCCACGCCCGTTGCCGGGAAATACACCTATTTTCCACGTCAACCCTTCCCAATGCTCGTACACTTGGGAATATTTCCCAACCATTCACTTCGACTGGACAAAGTCGCTTCGAGGCGCCGGCGTGACGCTTTCGGGTGCATGTTGACGCTATCCAGGGCCTAAATATCGTACCCATAAATATATATATTTATACATATATAAATATATATATTCATACTTGATGGCCAAGGGCATGCAACGAGTCCAATTTGGCAAACCATTGCTTGGTCGCACGGAGCAAAATGGGTTTCTTGGTGCGCCAATCGTACGGAAAGCGGTGCGTAATCTCGGATACAGACACAAGCGCACCACTTTGAGCTAGTTGCTCCAGAACTTTGGCCGTGCCTTGTGTTTGCACAAACAGCCCAGCCAAGTCGGCGCCAGCCTCGGCCGTGTAGCACCCTGCATACGTCAAGTGAGATGATTTGGTCGGGGTTTCGGGGTTCCGGGGTTTCGGGGTTAAGATAACAAACCAACCTTTTTCGTCGACCAAGCACGTGATTGTGTTGTCCGAGTGATGCTGGGCGTGGTGCGCCATCCACGCAAAGTAATCTTCCTGGCCGTGTGCCGGTGCTGTGTGTACGACGCCCGTCCCCGCGTCCGTCGTCACGTGGTCGCCCAGCAACACTACATACCCACAGCAATAGGTCGGGGTTTCGGGGTTTGGGAGTTTCGGGGTGACGAACCGATGGAATCTTGGCCATTCAGCGGGTGGCTGAAGATGCTGCCGACGAGGTCTGCGCCCCACACAGTCGCGACGGCCTGAACTGGTTGATTCAGCGTTGCCTTGTACTCGTCCACCAGAGCCACTGCGACCAAGTCGAGCTGGCCTGGCGCTACCTCTACAATCGCATACTCCAAGTCGGATCTAGCCATCGATATCACTTTTTAGAGAACAAAAAAACCTCTACAAAGTAGTAGTCGTCGTACCGCACACACAGCCCCCGATTCGCAGGGATGGTCCATGGCGTGGTGGTCCAGATCACCGCTGCAATCTACGCCTATCCGTTACGAGATACATAATACGGTCATTTACATTCGGAAAAGCAGCCAACGCCGCCGATGCCGACTTGACGGGGAACCGGACGTATGCCGAGGAAGACACATGATCATCTTGGTACTCGAGCTCGGACTCGGCCAAGGCGGTGCCAGACGACGGCGACCAGTACACGGGCTTGTACCCCTGGACAATGAGCCCATCTTTGACCATCGACTTGAACACGTCGTACTGCCGGACTTCGTAGTCGGGGTCCATTGTCAGGTACCGCGTGCCTTTGCCGCCGCTCCAGTCGGCCAGCACACCCCACCGCATCAGGTCCTTCTTCTGGCTTTCCACGGCATCCAGCGCCAGTGCCCGCGAGTGCTTTCGGATGTCGATGGGATCCAACTGACATGTTTCGTGGTAAGATGACGACGGATATAGGGTACGAACCTTGTCGCGAGGAAGTTTGAGCTTCTCCAGAGCTTTGATTTCAATGGGCAGTCCATGGCAATCCCATCCTGGAACGTAGTGCACGTGGTACCCGCGTTGCAGCTTGTACCTACGGGTGGTGGATGTCATCATCTCAGGATCGTCGCACGATCTCCTGCTTACCGGTTGATGATGTCCTTGAGGACCCGGTTGAGGAAGTGGCCAGTGTGCAGCGACCCATTGGCAAACGGAGGGCCGTCATGGAGAAAGAACGTTGGCGCCACACCCTTGCGCTGTTTCTCTTGCGTGGCATACAGCTCCGTGACCGTCCTCGCATGCAGCTGAGGCTCACGCACAGTCGCATTTGCACGCATGGGGAAGTCCGTCTTGGGCAGGTTCAGCGTCTTCCGGACGACATCGCCGACGACCGACGCCTGCTTCGTAGGAGCTTTGACCATCGCAATCAAAAGCACTGGCGATCGAATGTCAACAATTATCCGGATTTCGATCGTATCCGTACTGCCAAAATATTTTGAACATTACTTGTATCTAGGGGGTGCAATCGAATCGCGCCAACAAAGCGATCCACAATCGATCTGATTGGTTGAATTTCATTGAGAAGGTTTTGATTAGCTAATAATTTTGAGCTGATCTGAGGTAGCCAATCAGATCGATTTAAATTCCAACGAGAAATCCAGTCCAAATTGGATAATAGCGTCGATTCGTGAAACGATTTGGGGGTTTCGATTCGACGGGGTCTGGAAATTTGTACCGAATCCACAATACTCTATAAAATACCACTTCGAAGCACAGTACTACAGTAGTTCACCCAAATTTGGACTTGCGTCATTTCATTCACATTAACCAAATAGCATTCGAATCCATTTGATCTCATTTATCATAATACACAACGATTAGTATGCATGTGGGTTTGCCCAATGCGGAAGGACTGGGTCGCATCAAGCGTTTGAATTGGCAGAAATTGGACACGACGTGTTTGAATGGCTTAGGCGGTTCTTTAATCCATTATATTAAGACATCGATACTGCTGAGGGTTGCTCCAAGTTTCGAATCGATTTACTGTTAATAACGTAAACGGCCAATTATTGCCCTGACCAATTGTTGCCATTTTTCAGTTTTCGATGTCAATTATTCTAATTAACGTTATACCCAATCAAATATCTACGCTGCACTAAATCAGCTGTAATTGGCTAAAGTACTATTCGGCGCAAAAACTCGCACAATTTGAGTTTGCACACCTGCAATTTTACTCATGACAGGCTACACCCATGAGCAGCTCCTGGAAGCAACCGAGCACGCGTTGCAAGGAGAGCGACAAACGATCTCAATCGCATCTATAATGTGCCATACCGAACGCTCAACCTCTACATCAAGAAGATGAGAAACCTCAGCAGCATCGCTCCCAAACGCCGTGGGCCTCCGCCACCCCAGTGTGATGAGCACCTCGAGACCTGGATCAAAGACATGCAGGCCAACGGGTATCCCATCAAGTCCCCCGAGCTCCTCGTTGAGGTAGCCGAGGTTTGCAACGTTCTCGGAATCCTTCAACTCGGTGAGGGGTGGTACAACCGGTTTCTCTAACGACACCTACTGAAAACACAACGTCAAACGGGACTTCGTGGAAAGGGGTGCGCAACGAAGTGGGCATCAATGACATTTCGAACGCTGTTCTGCATCATGGCTAAACTAACCATTGAAGACCACTTGGACGACCACCGCTTGTACAACATTGACGAAACTGGTTTTGCGTCGAGGAAGAAGTCCACCGAAAGTGCTCGCAATCATTGGATCCGACAACGTGTGGGCTAAGATGATTGCGCCATCGTTCCACCGTCCGATTATTGCAGAAGTACATGACGGGATCGCCTCCACGTACTTGGAGGCATGGTTTACAGTAATGTTACGGTAACGTTATTGTGTTTTTCACCCAAATCTGGTTGTAATAGCGAAGCCATTGCAGCGGCTGATGTCGTTCCTGGACGACAGCTCGATTGTAACGTGTTGGTTGCAAGTGACATTCCCAACTCTGCCATCACGACAAGTCATTGTGGTTTTATCAACGGATTCCTTTTTGAAAAGTGGCTCACGATGTGTGATAGCAGCATTCCTGCCTCTGTCGAACGACCAGTCGTGTTGGTGTTTGATGGCTACAAGTCCCACTTCCCGTCCCAGCCCATGTGATGGCTCGTGCGATGGCGTTGCGTATTCTGCTGGTTTATCTCCCCGCGAGTCGTTCACGAGATCCAAGAAAAAGGCTGTGGAGCTTGTAAGCGCTGCCTGGAAGTAGTTACCAATTGGAACGAACGCCGTGTCTAGTTTTGATGCATGTGACCTGTATCCCCTGTCGCTTGCTGCAATGCAAAAACGGCTGATTATGTACTCGCGTGGCGGTCAGAAGTTGCCATGTGACGATACTATCTGACTTATTCCTGCTTCGTCGTCAACATCCAAGAAGCGGAAGTCGATTGACGTCGCCGGTTGCCTCATCACTCAAGACTTGTTCAACGAAATCATCCACGACCAACCTATCCGCAAGAAGACCAAGCAGCCACCAAGAAACCCACCAGGTAGCCGTCCAAGAAGAAGCAATTAGAGCGACGATGAAAATTGACAATGTTCAGTCCGATGGTACCCCCGTCGTCATCGTTTGAAGCTTGCGAAATGCTAGGGGAATATATGTGTTAGGGGTAAGGGATTAGCTTGGGCCCATAGGCAGAGCGAACTTTTTTGCTATTGGTATATGCTTTCTCCTCAATATAATTACCTGTAATATATAATCAAAGTCGGTTAGGTGTATGTTAGCGTTGGCAATTGTTTTGTGCTCACATTAAAAATATTGTCCAACTCTCACTATATCCTTCAAACCCATACTGAACCAAGTTTAAGCAGGGCAAACAACTGGCCCAGCATATTTCAAAACTTTTGTGTTTGCTTACTAGTTACTGTTAAGTATAACTACGATAAAAATACTCCAATTTGCGAGCAATTTGAACGATTGGATAGAGCGTTCTTTCCCCTACAACTGGATAACTTCAGATTTTTGTAATTTTTCTAAGGCTATGTGGTAAGGCCAAAAAGCTAAGGGGTCCAAAAGAGGGCAATAATTGGCCGTTTACATTAATACTACTACGTACTAATACAGTACGTAGTACTCCGGTATACTGTACTGTATTGATAATGGTTACAGTGCTAGCCAGGCAAACTCGGTCAGTACAACTCTGTTGAAATGTTATAAATCGCCACTACCGTATACCTTATGGATCTGTACCCCCGAAAAAAATGCACTGATCCCTAAGGTATACGGTAGACTGACACCAAGTTCTACGATTTGATTGGATGAATATAATACAAATTAATCTGTCCAATTCAAACAGACCTCAAGCATTATTGGGCTGGTTCAAACATTTGAAAGCATCAGGTGGCCAATTGGAGATTCAAAAATGGGGAAACCAAAGCGGCGTCAGCAGCGCCACACAAATGGGTAGCGCAAGACCCATCTAGTAGAATATCAGGGCTGTTCAACCATTGAACGGCAATTCTGCCGCGACAAGGACATCCCGCTAGCCACCTGGCAACGATGACGCTCGAAGTAGCAACACATATTGGTCAGCAAGCGACACGGACGCCACGCAACGATGGTCGGCCAGGGCAGCAAGGAGATCATTATGTTCCATGACGCCCTTCTTGCTTCCATGCGTAGCCGCCGAGACGAGGAGTCACCACATGATGCAATTGGTCAAGCGAAACCTCAAGGAGTGGCTTGTTGCGTACCTCCAATCGAAGAAAAACGACGCTGTGGCTTTCAACATCTTCCGCTCCCTGCTCTCGCAGTTTGCGCAGAGGCACCGTTTCCTTCATTGCACCCCGTGCGTCAACAAGGTGACACAAACCGTGCTGGACAAAGCTTGGTTGGGGTACGCAGAGTCGTTTTGGGTCAAGTATGTAGAGTACGACAGACGCCAGATTCTCAAAGTGGACGAGACGGCTGTGTACTTCAACATGCCCGGAACAGACGTTGGCCGAGATTGGCAAGTCAAGCAGGGTTTCAAAAGGCCAAAAGCACTTTGAGCGCCTCGCAGCCGTGCTGACCGTCCAAGCAGATGGTAAGAAGCTTCCGTTGCTGTTCAAATTCAAGGCGAATCCTGGCGGGATGATTGAGAGCAAGGAGATTCCGAGTTTCTTACACGTCTATGCTGTGCAGGAGAACGCCTGAATGGGCGAACGTGTATGGTCAATCTATCTCGACGCTCACTTTGGTCAGCACATCGAAGATGCGTCCATGTTGGTGCTAGACAACCTGGATTCTCACATGTCTGATGAGTCGCATGACAAGGTGGCCGAGAAGTTGTTCAGCGTCATTGACCCTCTTCCTACAAATTCCACAAGTCAGTGCTAGTCATTGGATGTTGGGGTTCATGGGACCGCTCATATCGATGCTGAAGACTGCATGGCCAATGGAAGATGAAGAGCGAGACTGTGATGATCGTACGGCTGGCGATGGTAAAACGTACTTTTCATGTCTGGGAAAAGATTTCTTCGGGCACAGTAGTGAAATAATTTGAAAAGGTTATTTCGTCAGTAATCCAAGTACAGTACAATCATTTGAAATGGCTATTTCGTCAGTAATCCAAGTACTGTATAATGCATTGTCCGTACCTAATTTTGGGTGTCTGTTGGTTTGTTTTGGTCGGTTGGAGGGTTTTCGAGATAAACCCCCCTTCTGAGTTGATTACCGCTGTCGAAATTTGAATTTGAGCACTTTCGTCGAAATACGAGACAAGCCGTGAGTAATGGTTACATCGCTGTAATTGGTCAAAATCCATGACGTGTTTAGCCAACCAGGACCACTTGTGCTGAACTTGAAGTAGTGAAGGTAATTAAATTTTTAAACTGATAAGTCAGCTCCCACATACAAATTAACCAAGGGTTGCACTGACTGAGTTTGCCTGGCTAGCACTGTAGAGTGATTTTGCAAAGGGTCACCGAAATGTTTCACTGGATTATTTAATTGGAATATTCCCATTTGAAAAATTACTCTAACGTTACTAGTACTAACGTTAAGATTTGAATACAGTAATGCAATGAAATGATCCAGCGAGACATTTCGGTGTACTCAATGGAAATTTCAGCCAAATATATTTCCAGTCAGAAATTCTGACCTTACACACTCACAACCATCAAACACGTCAGCAATACAGACGACGAGAGATTTTAAGGGACACTCGTTACTTCGAGTTCGCACGAAATCATCGAGGAACTCTTTCGCTCCTTGGAGGGAATCGATGTTCGATGTTGTTGCACAGTACTTAGGACGTTTTGTCAACGCATGTCATTATCGCATCTTTCCGCTCGAGACCGACAACTATGATCCAGTCCTTCGATATTGTACTGTATGCCAACATTTCTTATGTGATTCAATCGGAATCATTTTCCCATTCGCCTTGGCGCTGCTTGTCGTGTATCGCGCACAAGTCACACGTCGCGACATGAGCTTCTCGTCTTCTTTCAGACCGCTCCAAGAATACCATTGCGCGATGTGCAATTGCGTTCGCCGTACGCCAGGATGAGCTTTAGTGCTTGTGTCATGACTCTGCGAAGTAATCTCGGCCTTGAGGTACAGGGAACCACGTTGAATAAAAACGTGAAAACTTTGCCTCGTAATAAGTTTTCAATTAATCGTCAAGATATGGCTGTGACGTCTGCCCACATGCTGCAGTACCTGCGCGAGGACCACATGGAGTGGATTAAAACGTACATGAGCACTCGTCAAACCGGGTACAAGTCACTGCTTCGACTGCTGCAGCACTTTACAGTGCTCCATGGGTTCTCGAGACAACGGATCTGCCGTCAAAAGAAAATCTAAGAAGTGCTTTGGGTTACCCGTGATGCATTTGGGAAATAGTTTCATGAAGACCACCGCGAAATCAACATGGACGTTCTGTACAATGCTGACGAGACCGACATGTGCTATACTATGATATGTGTCCGAACACAATATGGGCCGTTCGTGATGGCGGTAGCAACATGGCCAACGCTGAACGACATTCCTACCGCCTGACTCCTCCCGGTACGGCAGGCCTCCTAAATTTGTCGTTTTGCTATAAATTGTGCAAGAAAGCGACAAATTAAGTTTGGGAGGGACGACAAATTAAGGATTTTTCAATTCAGCAGAGGAAGCACTGATCCGCCTTGAGGACGCGATTCCATGGGCCTTACACAGCACAAGCGACCTTATGCCGCCCAAGACAAAGGCCAACACACACTTTCAGGATGTTACGCACATGGTAGCGACTGACGATAACCCAGTTCTCAAGATCTGGTGCGCACAGCACCAAATCGACCTAGTCGTCAAGCAGGCCGCCGAGTGCGTAGCAGACGGCACGTGAATCAAGTTCACCGGCCCTTCGCGATCTTCCTACGCCAGGTCCTTGCACATCGCGAAGCAGGAATCGCACGTCAACGCACGCTAACGGCCATGCTCAACCTCACAATCGTGGACCAGGGCGAGTCTGACCACGAGAAGCACGAGTCGTTTAAGTCCATGCGCATCCCGGTCGACTCGATCGTTCATTCACCACGAAGTGCTACAACGACCTGATCCCGGACGAGCAAGCCGTCGTTACCCGCGAAATTGTCAAGTACACCATCACGGTGATCAGGGGCTTGATGAGCATCCAGGCCGAGCGTGATGACGCCAACAAACCGCTGCAAACGGACGCGCCACCGGTGCTTCACTGCGTGTGGGTGCGCGACGTGCTGGCGCCGCACCAGATGAGTAGATCCACCAGCTCTAGGCGGACCACTCGGCACTCGGTGCTCAAGTGTTATCACGACGACGAGATTCGGCGTACAGCCATTGACTCGCATGACGAGAACACGATGACGCCTGGGGCGTCTGTCCTGGGAAGTGCAACCATTTGTGCGACTCCTGGCCACTTGCTTGGTCAATACCGTCGCTGTCGAGAGCAACATCTCCATCCTCAAATGGGAGATGGATGGGAATCGCACGGATATGATGTATCTGTCCCTGGAAGGTGTCTTCCAGGCCAAGTAGAAAGAGGCGATGCCGGTATAATATACTTCACGACGATCCCTTTTGGAAGTTTAAAATGGACTTTTTGGCTCCTTAACCGCCTTTTTGTGTAAGACGACAAACTAACACTGGCGAGGACGACAAAATAAGCCAATTTGTTTACTTTGTCGTAAGCGACAATTTTAGGAGGCCTGCGGTACGGGGCGATGGTTTAAAGCTACCTATGCTGTTCATCGTTCGCGGAGAGCCTGGCGGGGACATTGTATCGAACGAGTTTGAAGACTATCCATAGGGGCACTACTATGCATGGCAGAAGAAAGCCTGGATGAACAGAGCTGTGTGGAAATTCTACCTACGGCAAGTGCTGAAGCCATGCATTGAGAAGCTCATCCGAATTTGAACTATAAATACTTCATTTTCCTACACTTCCCCTGAGTACAGAAACTCTGCACACAAGAATTAGGGAATCACAGGTAGAAAATGGGGAATCATATGAAACTGTAACGTTACAAATACTATATAAGGTAATTTGGTCCCCACAGGCCTCGTCTGGGAGCGGCACGGCCTGCGCCCTACCTACCGCTTTTCCCGACGAGAGGAATCGATTGGACATTCAGTGAAGTGCACGATTGAGGCTCACTCCTCGGCAAGGTACCGCCTGCACGAAAGTATACACACGACCTCCGCTGCGCTGCGGTGCACGCAATTTTGTGGGCGGATGCTCTGTCGTCGCTCGCTACTGTAACGCTAGGTCAATTCCTTTGTGTTTTGATACAAGGTGTGTCCCCTATTTCTACCTGTGATTCCCTAATTCTTGTGTGCACGAACATTTGACTCTACCTCCCCTGCTCCACATTACTTATACGATTCGAAAAACACACTTTTTCCACATCACTGCGGATAAATACACATTATTGGCTGATTAAGGAATACTTCCTCTGTGGTTACTGCCGACATTTACTTTGAATTGACACTGACAATCGAGCCCTCACTCAATTTGGGCGAATGATACTTTGTTTGAAAGGGAATTGCATGAATTTTCGCTAAAGATTGGTTTATAATCAGCGCTTAAAGCAATTGTAAGCCAATGAAATGTCATAAATGTTCGATGTTGATAGAAATTGAATTACAGCCAATGAAATGCAATTGTCGCCAGTAACTTGGAACATGCGAATTTTGAAATGTCGGTAGTAACCTGGAACAGAGGAAGTACAATTTTTCGATTGGTCAAAAATACCTACCGTATTCCGGCGGGGCTTGTACCCCCGACTTTTACCATCGGAGTTGTACCTATTTCTTTCTTCAAGTCCTGTTTGGAAGATTCTGGGCTTTGCTCATGGAGTTGTACCTATACATGGGCTATTGGTTGATAATCATCCAATTAACTATACACAATCATGTTTCATTTCTCGGCGACGGATGGATCTGAAGGCTGTCGATATTGTTGGTGTCTCGAGTGGTGAGGGAACGCGCTCGTGAACCTGCCATGAGATATGCGGCGACAGCTTGACTGTCGACGATCTCGTTGTGTTTCGACTTGCTGTACAAGGTGACCGTGAAAACCTCGAGGAGGTTATGAAGGTTTATCGTCTGATGGCCACCGAGGAAGGCTGCCATGTTGGCTACCTCCCCCTGCCTCTGCTAAATCGCAACGACGTGCTAAAGAACAAGATTGCATTGGATTGCATTGGTTGTGGAGGACCTGCATGTGTCATCCCGTCGAGCGCAGCGAGTGCGTTCAGACGAAATATCAGCATAGTTAAGGCAGTTCTGTTCGAACACATTCAAGAGTACCATACAAGCATCGGAAGTTAGTGCAAATAAGTGTTGCATCTAAACTACAATGCCAAATCCGCATTTGCGCCACGCATTGCAATTTGTTTCCGAAGTGATTTCTGACCACGCGTGGTTAATCCAGCGCAAAATTAATTCACGACTGACAACATCGTGACCAAGCATGTTCGCCGCAGCCCACGTCATGTATTCGTGGCGAATTTTGTCTTACGGTTTGTTGATTCCGATATCCAAGGGCTGCAGGACTCATGTGTACCCGCCTAAAATATATATATGTGTAAAATATTCAGAGCAAGAAATGTAAAATACTCAGAGCGAGAAATATACGGAAATACCAAGGACTTACGAAACATCCGGTTAATTAACCGGTAAATAAGGGGGGCTCCTCGGCCTGGTTCGCTTCGCTCCCGGCCTCCGGTGCTCCCAAGGATTATATAGATCATTGCTGTGATATTGAGTCGCTGCGCGGGCGAACGGGCCTGGTTCCCGGCCCTGGCCTAAGCTAGCTCCTAATCGTTCCGGATAAGTTGTTTCGTGTTTGTTTCGTAACCATCATTCTCTTTCAAAATAAAGTATGAACTTCACTATCGGAGTGTTGATCTTGTTTCGTAAATGGGTAAATATGTATAAATGCATACCTGGAATAATTTACAATTCGCTTCCGAGTTTTGCAACCTCATGAGTAAACTTCGGTTGCTTGCGGCACTTGTAGTCGTCTAGCAGCAGTAGGCTTGGGCCACCTTCACCACCAAAAGGTTGCCAGAATTTCTTCATCCATACCTCGGTGGTCGGGTCGTCAGGCCAGGCGTTTTTCTGGCAACACGCGAAGACGTTGGCGGGCAAAAACTTCTCCAACGAAGCATCAATGCGAGCACCGGGGACCCCTTTGAACACGACGTATGGCGGCAACTTCGTTCCGGTGGCCGTGACCACCAGACACACGGACACACGATTGTGTGTGGAGCAGACGCGCGCGGAAACCGTCGTTGCACCTTTCTGCGAGATGGTCGTGTGCACCTTGGGCTCAAAGTACTCTGGGGTCTCGTCCATGTTGACAACTCGGTCCATTGGAACGTCTTCCAATGTCCCAAAGGGCAGGAAACGACCACTTAAGTTTCCAACAAAATCGTTCATTACCTGAATGAGATGGTTCGACTTCTTTTGGCCTTGACGTGTTGGGCGCCGCATACACAGAGTGTGGCGCTCCATGAGCTTGTATACCCAGTGAACAAGCGCTTGCGCATACCACCGCAGAACGTTGGGTCAATGCTCAACGCCTTCACAATGAGCATGTTCGTGCTGACAGCAATGTCGCTGTCGCGCAACGTTCCACAGTACTCCAGCACTGCAGCTTCCAGCGCGGGGTCAGCAACCTCAGGGCCATCGCTTTCCGTGAGTTTGCTTGGACGCTTGGAAACCGCTTGCTTGAGTTGGGGCGAATGTTGGAACCATCGGTTCAGCTGGCCAGGCTGGATACCATGACGTTTGGCAGTTGGGTAGGCACTGCACGCGCCTTTGTGTGCTCCATGACCACCGACAACATCTTGGCAGAATAATACCGCATTTTACCCTTTGAAGGGGAAGGCGACGGCATGGTCGTTTCAAAAGTGACGACAACAAAGTCGCGGCTTGATCAACCAATCAAATTCAAACGAGGTCACACGTATTAGCGAATCCTAGCATCTTTTACGATTTGAAAGCATTTGACTTTCCGCACGGGGCTGTACCTATTTGGATCAGATTTTGCCTACATTTTTGGGGGTACAAGTCCCGCCAGAATACGGTAGCCTATAAAAGCAGCGACACAGGTCACGAATCATTGGACATCAGGAGACCGGAGCGTCTCAAGGCCGCCTCCTTCAGTGGAGGCAACACATAACCATTGCCGCCGGAGTGCTCGAGGATCAAACTCATCACTGCCTGGAAGGTCACCTTGTTCACACTTGGGAATGACACTTTGATGGCAGCTACGACCTTGTTCAACACGTATTTGCAGTACACAGCGGTGTCAACGTTGACCAATCTTGTGAGGATTGTCCCAGCTGGTCGGTTGCGTGAGTTGCGGGCAGCTGGAAGTAGGCGAGAGAACGTCCACATGCCGATCTTGCCATTGAAGACAACACCGCGGTCTGTATCGAAGCGCGGACGAGCGACTGCGGCCAAGAACATCACCTTGGGGATGAATCGTTTGCTCTTCCATGCACGCCATGGCGGGGCCTCGCCGGGGACCAGGTACACCTTCTGATGATCCTTGTCGGCATTGAGCATTTTCTCATCCAAGTGCACCACATCCCACAGGTTGTCAAATTCAAGGTTTCGCTGGTATTGTGAGTCCCTGGCCACTTCTTTCGGTGTCATGTGATTGGCTGCTACCCTGATCGCCATTACTAGACACGTGTTGAAGTACCGCTGCTTGCATGTCCTGCTGCTCCTTCAGTTCATTCTCCTGTTGCGCTTGCTGATTGGCTAACACTTGCGCTTGTGTTTGGGCTTGAGCATCCAGCGGTTGTTGGATCATCTTCTGCTGATGCTCCATAGTCCCCACCAACCTTGCAAACACTCTCCATGATTTTGATTGGAAAACGGCTTAATTACAGGCTCACTACGTAATCAACAAAGTCTTCCTTAGTGTCGAGCTTCGGCTTCGCCAACAAATGCGCGTCAATCGCTTCGGTTACGTATCGGACGACAGATTCGGGGTTTCGGGGTTTAGTTGATGAACCTTGATCTCGCTCATACGTAGATAGGATTTGTGGCAAAACGAGGTTTAAAGGGTAAAGGGAAACGGTGCTACATTACTTTGGCTTGAAGTTGAGGGTAGCTCATTTCGTCAAATTTATCTACCAAATCCGAAGTACTAGTAGGAAGTGCGATTTTGCGAGACGTGGCAGGTCGAAAATTTTGCGTTAGGATACACTCGTTATAACAGTTCCACTGTTGTTTTGACGAGGGAATTCTCACATCCAGATAGAATTTTTAGCCCATAGACCTGTAACCTAGGACTGGGTCCTACCCCCGATGAGCACATACGATGCGAAATCTGCATCACTTGTGGTTAGCTATGGTTAACCACTGAGATGCACGTAACCCCTAGTAATCCGGAGTAACAGGTGAGGTGGTCAGGGGATACTAAGTCCCATATAAACACGCAAATTCCAATGTTTTCTGAGAAAAACAACAGTGGAACTGTTTTACACATTTCAGTTAATGACCAGCTGCTATCGTTCTATGCTTGGATGCAAGATCTGCAAGCAGAGAACACCAAGTACCTAATGGTGAAATAATACAACAAGTCCGACCCGCCAAGTTACTGACGTACAAACTGTTCCTCCAGCCTGATTGATTTACAGTACTTCATATATCGGAGTTACAGTCAACGAAGGAGTGGTTCGCCTACTGTTTTCTTCGAGGAATCGGACAATAACGGTAAATGATTGGCAGCCAAACTTCGAACTACGAGAATCGTTTTAGCCAATATTGAATGTGTTATTTAAATTTCGACAGGTTATGAAAGATGGGAGCCCATACCGAGTACTTGTGCTCCAAATCGGCATTCGCTTACACAGGACATCAATTCTTGCAAAGCGATGTAATTTAATTCAAGCAATAAGTTGAACCTACGTTAAAGATAGCGTTTGACGCGGTGGCGCAAAGGTTAGTTCGACGGCATCCATATCGATTGGGGAAGGGGGCCGTGTTCAAGCCCCGGTCAGTGTCACACTTTTCCCGTTTATTTAAAAGTAGAAAAACTACATATTTCACACAATTAATATAAAGCAAGGAGTGGCTACGGCAGTGTGCTCAAGTGCGAGGAATCGCTTTGGCAAAGCTCCGGCGAATGACGTCTTCGCTGACCTTCTCCCACGCCGAAATTGCCTTTTTGATCATTGCGAGACGTTTCTGCGCAGCACAGGGTGAGTCAAACTCATCCCCATCGTCGCCGTCGATGATCTCCTCAGCCAACCACTCGTCCCGTAGGAGCCTCTTGAACGGCGCCATCACACCGACATCCAGCGGCTGACACACAGATGTCGCATTCGGAGGCATCGGTACGAGGAGACTGCTCAGCTCGTCTTGAACAATGTCATAGGACTCGTCAGATACATGCGACTCAAAGTTGTCCACCAAGATGACCGACAGCGCTTCGATGCAGGTCAGTAGCAAGTCACGAAGGTACTGTCGCCACACGTCATTGTCCATCCACGCCTTGGGTTGTACTGCGTAGACATGGCCAGCGGGATACGTTGGCAGCTCGTTGGTTGCGATCCGACCGCCGGGTTGGCCCCGAACGACGAACAGCAGAGGCATCTTGGTCCCATCGGCACGAACGGTAAGCGCCACACTCATGCGAAGAGAATGCTTCTCACCCGACGACACTTTGGCATCGCCACCCCTGATTGACCAAATGTACCTCGGTGGCATGTCATAGTGAAAATCCGTCTCATCCACGTTGTAGACAGCGTCAGCATCGAAGGCGCTGTAGGCGCGGTGAAACTCCTCCGCAAACTCGTCGCGGACCTCGGTCAGTGCAGCACGGGACTTCTTGGTGTGGCCAGCGCGTTGCCGAGAGTACCCATGACGATTGCAGAAGAGTTGGATCAGACGAAGGAGGCTTTGGTATGCCATACCGGGCTCCTTATAGGCAAGGAACAGTCGCAGCCAGTCAGGTTGGAAGCGTTTGATCCAGTTGATAATATGAGTTGTGGTCAATGCACGTTCACGAGCACGCATCTCGGCTATGAACTCGACGAGTCCTGTTGGGTCAGGAAAGGACTCG